CCCGCACCCTGACACCCTTTACGGAGAAAGAACTACGTCGTTAAGCTTTATCAATTAAAGCTTTACTTCGTATAAGATCTCGAAGCCCGCCTCGCCTATTAGATTGTGTATTAAACCAGCTTATAAAAGGCTTCTGTCTTATAATGCAAGGTGCTATATTACTCGCTAAAGAAAATAAGGATTTACGCGCCACTAACGAGAAGCAGAAGCAAAAGCGTACTAGATCCCGGAGGTAGTGATAGAGATGTATTACAGATTCTACTATGAAGTGTAGATGTAACTGGAAAATCTCTGTTGTGCGTAAAGAGAGAGAGAGAGAGAAACTATCTACAAGATGGGAAACCAAGTACTAGGAGCATGTGGTAACATGCTTCCAACAGGTAGATACCTGCTAAAGAAGGCCTCTCAGTTCTTAAAGAATCTCAATTGATTACTGAGCCGGTGGAAGCAATTGAAGCACGTCCCTCCCCTCCACGAAGAAGCCCTTCGCCGGTTTTACAACCACATATAAGAGCGCCACCAAAGTGCAGTGGTTGTGGAGAAATAGGACAATAAATCAAAGATAGGAAAGCCTCACCCGGCCGAGGAGAAATGGTATGCTTACCCACCTAGGAAGTTCTGTAGATCATTATCCTTGAGGCCACGGCATTTAAACCCTATACACTCTACGTTCACATTGCTTCGCCCGTCACAGGTTCTCTTGGCATCAAATCATCCCATACGGTGGATCGATTTTCCTACAGTGATGCATAGCAAACTGTATATTCGCATTGGCTCGCTATCCCGGGTCACTACCATTCCTTGCCGTTCCCTGCTGTAGAGTTTAGCCGCGGGGGCTGAAACTAGTCCCCATGGCTGCCACACCCCAAAGATAGACACGCGGATTCAATTTCTTAGGACTTTGGCTTGACTAGATCTCTTTGTTGGGATGAAATGGCTGGCCCCGTGACACTTGGTTGCATATCTTTTTGACGGCTCAAACGCCAAGACTATTCTATTCAGATTAATAGAATCATAATCTTTTCCACCATCAAGTTTCTGCAAGAGTCCTTTTAGTGCATCCTCTATGTTAAATTCATGTGCTCACCTCGTCCCAATTGACATAACTATGTTTGGCACAATACCAGGAGCAGAGTGGACCGTCTTCAGGAAGATGAAGCCCGGCTAAACCAAGACGCATATGCAGGAGTAGACAAAGACGAGCCCTGTGAGGCCTATGCATACAGAGATAGGCGTCGATGTCAAAGATGTATCCTTGCGCAGATTAAAACATCCACTCATTTGTTTACCAGAAAGCCAGAACAAAAATGAGACGTTCAAAGCTATCTATTATCATAGCCTCCGCCTCTCTTGTGGCTGGCCATGGTTATGTCTCTAGCATTGTAGCTGATGGCAAACAGTAAGTCAATCCAACACCAAAAGTCTCCATACCCACTATTTGCTAACCATATAATCAGCTATAACGGCTGTGTCATTGATTGATCCGCCTATATGCCAGAATCTCCTGTCAGCGTCGGCGGGGTAACAACGGCAACCGATCTCGGTTTCGAAGACTGTGACGAATACTAAGATCTGAACATAACTCCACCGAGGCGCAGTCAACACAGCTTTTAGTGCCACAGTCACCGCTGGCTCCAACATTGACATCCAATGGACAACCTGATCAGAATCTCACCACGCTCCTCTGGTCACAGACCTCACCCCGTGCAACGGTTACTGCAGCACAGTTGACAAGACCACGTTGAAATTTTTCGAGATTGAAGAAATTGGTCTCATCGATGGCGCAACTCCTCCTGGAAAATGGGCCACCGATGATCTTACTGCTGCTGGGGGCCAGTGGACTGTGAAAAATTCCTTCTACCATCGCTGCAGGTAACTATGTCATGCAGCATGAGATTATCGCTCTGCACTCTGCTGGCCAGTTGAGAGGCACCCAGAATTACGGTGTTTCAATATCTAGGTCGCTGGTGGCGGAAGTGATGTGGCTGATGGTACGCTTGGCGAGAAGCTGGATGCCCATACTGATGCGAAGATTTGGTTCAATGTTTATTCTACGTCGACTTCGTCTGTTATCCCGGGACCGGCTTTTATAGGTTTAATTCGGAGTTATTAGGAAAGACCAGGCAGAGAGTAGTCAGTATGGTTGTTGACTTTCGATGCTTCACTCTCTTGTTGTTCGAGCATTACAATATTGATATATGAGCATCGGTCATCTGCTGCGACTTCAAATACCCAGAACTCCATTAAACCATTGAGATCCAATCTATTCCGTTCTCTCATAAGGCAAAGCAATAAAGCCGTGCACCTTTGCCCCCTCAAGCGCCGCAATAATACCACCTAGACTGAAATCCGTTTTGCGTAGCTCGAACTCCCCAAAGAAGTTCGCCTCAGCGGAAACCTTCTCAAACCCAAGCCCTTCAAACAAAGCCAAACTCCTCAAATTCGCCTGTCCAATCTTTACACTGAGATACTCCAACGTCAACCCATTTGATGACCCCGTTGTCTTAACACCAGTCCGCAATTTTCGTACAGTCTCGATATCAACACCACCAACGAACTCTTCCAGAATAGCCCCCTGGTTCTGAACAATGTACCGCATAAACATGAGTAGCGCAGCACGTCCAAATCCGCGTCGCTGGTTGACTGTCTCAGCGATCATGAGCTCGACCTCGCCGACTATTTGCGGCGGGCTATCACCCTCCTCGCCGTCGTCGATACGCAGAAAGAGGTTGATATCACCAACCATATTAGCCGGCAAGTCACTTTCCGTTTGCAGCTTTGCCTGGCTCGGGAGATCGTCTTCAATGTCTGTTGTGATCGCCCGACAGACGATAAAAGTTAGTTTGTCGGCATCTTGGCGCCAGCTGCGTTGCATCGAATATTCTTCTTCTAGCGTTAAGGGTTCTGAGGCTGTTGCTTCTTGGATTTCCTGGAAGACTGTGAGAAAGGCGGTTGATTATAACAATGATCTTCTTGATCTTGTTCGCTTACTGGGTCTTTCATCCATTCGTGGTATCGGGGTACATGCCATGAAGAGTACGGGACTAAAAGGGCCTTTGAGGAGCAGAGGGCTATCTCTCAGATGTTCAGATCAGCCTCTTCTGTTTTTGATCATAATAATATCCATGCGCGAGATCCCCGAGAAAAGGTATGTGTATGGGTATGGGCATAGAATAGCGTACCGATGTTGGCATTGAGTAGCATTGTGGGAGGATGACCAGAATGTGACCCTCTTCGGTGTGAGTAATTCACAATTGTCCAATTATATGTACTCTTGTGGAGAAAGCCTCACGCAATGTCTACCAGGTTCTCGATGGATACATAGTAGAGGAAGTTGGTGGGATGGATTCTTCCAAGTGTGGGTCTTGGCGCTTGGAGCACTCGGGTTGTAAATATGGGGCTTGTCTGAGCAGCCATAGTGCCATGTAAAGGTAACAACATATGTGTGATTTGGTAAAAGTGTTGTTTCATTAGTACCGTAGATGAATTGGTATCTCTATCTGTTCATTTTTGTTCTTCCTGACCCTTGAAAACTCCAAACCGGACTACCTCGACCTCTAGCGTCTCGGTATCAACTAGTATCAACTCCCCGGTTTCGCTGAACTTGGGAAGCGCCAGCAGCCGAACACGGGCTGCATCGGAGCCATCAGCGGCACCCACCATTTCAGTGTCGCCGTCTAGGCGGAGGGGGGTGTCGCCCTCAATCGTGGCAGTTTTGAACTGTGGCTGATTGCCAGCGAAAAAGATATGCGGACATGACTCGATAACAAATGGATCATCGGATTGGTATGGGTATGACCCTGAGGACAATTGTTAGCAAAATGCGATTTATGAGATTGGGATATCCATGCATACAAAGTGTATCCGGCGCAGTGGGAACGCCGCAGCGCCAACGAAGCATGGCTTCCATGATTCGCATCCGGTCATCGGAATCCTTCTCCTTGTCTGGGGTGCTATCACCGTCCTCTATACTGATATACCGCAGAACATCGTCAACATTCTGACCGCTGCATCCCCAAAGTCGCCAGCCTTCCACATCGCCATCCCAGGGGTTCGTGACACTGTCGAACCAGCCCACTTCCGGCGTTTCATCTCCTCTGACAGGAGGTGCGGAATACGCTCTTGCTTGTGGGAACATTGTACGATGGATCCCCTGCTGAGGGAGGGAGAAGTTTGCGGGATCTTTTTCACCCGGCATGAGTGTGATTGGAATGCTAGGCAAGATCTCCGCTAGGAAGTTGTCAAGTTGTGTAATAGGTGCGGCATTGTATGCAGAGGCGTCGTAACCATACTTTTTCGGCTGGGCTTTCTTTGCCGCAGCGTCGCCAGAGCTTATTGACGCTACATCACCAATTACGCTGGCTCCAAGTGAGTTACCTGCGATGATCAACCGGGAGATTTTCGAGGGACCCATGGAAGGACTGTTGTCGTCATTCCCTGAGAATCCCGTGTAGCCCAGAAGATAGTCCGTCAATAGCTCCAAACCAAGCGTGTCGCTTGATGTGCCCGTGATTCCCAGGCCACTGACGAAGGCAATTTTGCCGTGTTCCGTTCCAGCAATTTCGACTTCACTTTTTGGAGCATTGCTCTCCCATCGTTGAGCCTGCGGAGCCAAGTCTGGCAGCTTGATATCAATAACCTCAAAATCTCCATTCGCATTTTCAGTCCCCAACGCTGCAATAATGGCACCTGTCGCCAGCTGCGTAGACTGCAAGAAGTTTCCAGTAAGCCGTAAACGGCCGGACTCATCTTCCATCATAATTTGGGTCAAAGAGGGATCAGAAGGGTCGGTGTAGGTGCGGCGCGGAGGGGGCGCGGAGGTGAAGTTCTATGGGTTGTCAGTAGAAGAAGCACCAGCCGTACGGCTTAGAAACTAACCTCTTTGCTGAGATCTTCCAAGATATTAGGCTTCAATGGCAAATGCATGTACACGGTGCCGGCCACCCAGCACAGTTCGCCTTGTCGGACATCGAGGACTCGATCGACACGTCGCACCTTCTCTCCAGCGATCTAAATTGGCAAGTGGTTGTCAGAAACGTTCATGGCCGAGAGAGAAGAATATTCCCTAGGAGCAGGTGCGCTTACAACAAGTCCATCCCACGCATCCATCGCAACTTGCTCAACGGTGGGCTTCAACTTGGCGAGTCGCAAAAAGTACATGTCATCATATTGCTGTTGATAGTGCCGTCCTGCACCGGCTGGTAGATGAAAGGTGAGGCGAGGATTGTAATGGGAGGGTGTTCGATACACCGGTTCCTGTTTCTGTTCCTCCTTGCTATCGAAACAGAGTGCATTCAATGGTCAGCGAAAGCTTCTTGGTGCGTAGCAGTCTGGATAGAGGCAGAGTGGACCAAGGGGTATTACCTTGGAGGGCACAAAAAAGTGTATTCTTCAGCATCCGGGGCCATAGTTTCCGGGAAAATGCAGCGATCGGGTATTTTGGAAATGGTTGGGGTGGTGATGCAAAGTGGTGTGTTTTGACGCGCCCACGCGTCAGTTAGCGTGTTCAATTACATTCCCACTTCGGGTCTCGTGTGTGCCAACTGGTTAGGAACAATCCATTTGACAGCTGAAATCTGCCATTCTTTTCATAAATCTCGTTAATACAGCTCATTTTTTTGGTTTCCAGTCCCAGTAAAGTTTAAATTAGGCTCAAAAGAATAAGAAATGCGTAATGACAACGAGATCAAAGTGTGTAGCGAAACACCACACTAAGCCGACTCGGATTTCGGTCATCTATGCTCAATAACGCTGGAAGAGTAGTGTACTCACCAAGATGTGCTCTTCATAAAGCGCCGTGTGTTGTACTACATAAAAGGAGCTGTACATTGCAGATCGGTTATCACCTGCCTCGGTCCATACATGGCTTAGGGCTTCCCCGCATTCTCCATTCTTCACATTAGAACATCGAAAATGTGATCCTCAGATATTCTCTATAAGTACAAGAGAAAATTGATAGACGGCCATCTCTTAGTGTTAGTCACTTCTACTTCCACAACCTGTCATCGCCATCTAGTTATACCGGCAAAACAACATGTCTCTCCAAACACCACTATGCTCTCTTCTCAAGATCCAACATCCAGTCCTGCTTGCCGGCATGGCCCGCGCATCTGGAGCTCCACTGGCAGCAGCAGTGTCTAATGCCGGTGGCCTGGGCACAGTCGGCGGACTAGGCTATACACCAGCCCAACTATCAGAGATGCTCACAGAGCTCAAGTCACTCCTCCGGGACCCCTCGCTCCCCTTCGGCGTGGATCTGGCCCTTCCGCAAGTCGGAGGCTCAGCACGCGCAACAAACCACGACTACACACATGGCCTGCTGGATGAGTTAATTGAGGTGACCATCTCGCATGGCGCCAAGCTCTTCGTCTCTGCCGTCGGGATCCCGCCAGCTAAGACCATTGAGCGGCTCCACGAGGCCGGTATCCTAATTATGAATATGGTTGGCGCGCCGAAGCACGCCCATAAGGCGCTCAAGGCGGGCGTCGATATTGTCTGTGCGCAGGGCGGCGAGGGTGGCGGTCACACCGGCGAAGTGCCGTTCTCTGTTCTCGTACCCGCTATTGTGGATGTTGCGCAGCAGTACAAGAGTCCGCTGACGGGCCAACCGGCGCTTGTAGTTGCAGCTGGAGGTATCTATGATGGCCGGAGTCTGGCCGCTTCGTTGATGTTTGGTGCTATGGGTGTTTGGGTCGGGACGCGATTTGTGGCCTCAGAGGAGAGCGGTGCTAGTCGCTTGCACAAGGAGGCTGTAGTTCGGGCACAGTTTGGTGAGACCAAACGTACGCTTGTTATCTCTGGTCGGCCTTTGCGCATGCTACCCAATGATTATATTAAGGAGTGGGAAGCACGGCCTGCTGACATTGCCGCGCTGACTTCCAAGGGCGTTGTGCCCATGGTGGATGATTTGGAGAACGAGAAGGAAGTTGATATACCATTCCTCATGGGCGATGTTTCAGCCAGTGTTAAGGACATTAAACCAGCGGAAATCATTGTGAAGGAGATGGTTCAGCAGGCTGTCAAAATGCTCAAAATCGGAGGCTTATATCTCACATCGACAGGGCCGGCGAGTAGACTATAGGTGTGGATGGATATGAAGTCCGCGGAAATGGGGGCTACCAACTAATACTGACGCTAAAGTGAAGTAAAATCTGGCAAGCTTCTCCCTCTTACGGATGCAACCATGACATATATGTGTATAAAACACGAAAACCAATGTAACGTGAAAAACCAACAAGCGAGATGGATTATGCCTTGGTAATCACCGAGGAATATCGCGAGACAGACAAAAATAGATGGCACAGAACTTCTACATTTCGGTTTCAACACGAATCTTCGGATCTTTGTAAGCCACAAGGCGAAATGCAACATTTGCCTTGAGAGAAGAATACAAAGTCAAAAGATCGAGTATTTTATCGAGGGTAGCCAAAGTTGTTTCAATCAAAATCGACATCAAGGAAGTTGGAATCATCTTTTAGAAAACCAAGCCATTGACTCCCGTAGCGTTGCCATTCGCTCGAGCCTCCAGAAGATTTGGGGGCGGGGTAGGACCGAAGACAGGCTTCTCTGAGGGTTGTTCGACCCGGGTAGAGGGTGGCTCGAGATCTTCCTCATCACTGATATCCTCCTCGTCATCTTCGTAGTCATCATCGTACTCGCTTTCAGTGCCTTCATCATCACCCTCTAAATGATCGTCGCCTTCTGCTAGAGCAAGTCCTTCGCCTCGGCCCTGGGCTTGCATACGCCGGCATAGGGCTTCTAGGTGGTGGCACTTCCGCCGCCACCTTTCAAGTTCTTCATGGTTCCGGGTCCGTTCCTCCGCCATTTCCAGGATGTTGCGGTTGGTTTGCTCGTGCTTCCGGTTGAGCGTATGATTCTCCTTCTCCAGGCGCTTGGTTTTCTTAGACATTTCTTCCATCTCTTTGCGGAAGGTAAGGAAAAGATCGTTGCTGTTGTTCAAAGTGTCCTCGACCTGGTGGTCTTCGTCAGCGACCGGGGAATGAGAGGGTTTGTGGGAACCCTTCTGTACCTGTTTGAACTTCTCCACGTAGATGTTAAGTTGGCTGCGCAATTCGGCCTCGGTATGGGAGAAAGTGGAAACCTGGGAGGTCAACGCTCGGCTTCGGTTGGCTTCGACTTCACTAGCACGGCGCTGCTCCTCATACTTGGAAGCGAGACTTTGGATCTCGGAGTCCTTGCCACGTAGGAGGCCCCTGTAATGCAGGTCACGCGTGTCGAACTGTTCGCTAATGGTCTTAAGCTTGGCGCGAAGTCTAAAACCTCTCCGATTAGCAAACACATAGCCCGAAGACTAAGACGGCATCGAAATCGTACGCTTCATCCAGATCAATATCCACCTTTTCGCTACGAGGGTTCCCCTTGGCAGCCATGACGTCTTGGATGTCATAGAGGAGCGAGTCGAGACGTTCATTCACAATCAAGCGAGCTTTCTTCTCCGTGTCTTCCAACTTCTTATTCTCATCCTACCAAATCGTTTAGCTGGCAAGTCCTCCGTGGCATTTGGCGCATTTGTCTCGAGGCGCATGCTGATGGACCCACCTTGACTTTCTTGTTCTCCTTCGTAAGTTCTCGACACAGCTTCTCCAGCTTGTCCTTCATTGTGACGGTCTTGTTAAGATCAGACTTGCCCTTATCCTGGTCTTTTTGCAGCTGATCGGCACGCTTCTTGCTCTTAGAATAATCACGATCCAACTTCTTCATGTCCGCTAACAGCTCGGTGTACTTTTTGTGGACGGTTTCGAGTTTGGTCATAGGGGACTCGATGTTGCTCAAAAGCTGGTTGAGATCACGAGTTGCCTTTTTAACCTCGCGCTCTGTATATCGAAATCCATGTTAGTGATCCTAAGTTCTAGACTAACTTCGCGGTCCAGCGGCACCAAGCAAAGATGAAAAGTGCCGCCGCAGGATGCAAAGGGAGTCACGCACCAATTTCCGCCTCTTGGTCTTTCTCGCCGGCGGCATCTTGCTCCAGTTGGGAGATCTTGGCGGCCAAAAGCTTGGACGTTTCGTTTGGGTCGGCCGCTTTCTTTCCCTTGTTCTTCTTCGCCATAGAGGTGGACGACATTTCTGGGTGTTTGCGTGAGGTTTTGCAGAAACCACGAATTTGATGGTTCGATTCACGGGGGGTTGGTACGAAGGCCGGAAGCCGAAAATTTGCGCCAAATAGATGGGATACAGGGCAGGATGTAGCCGGATCAATCACACTGAGGAGAGATCCCAGAGGAGAGGCTCACGAGCGAGATCACTGGCTCTGGGATATAGGAATCGTTCGTTTGTCGTATCGTTCGGGAAAGAGCAAATGTTGGTCTTCGGAGCAGAACTTCGATGAGCGGGCGGCCAGTGAGGCTTACGCTAGCATAGATGATGTAAGCCTGGGCGGTGGAACCTCCAGGGCTGGACATTTTCGACTCCGGGGTTGCGAGCTTGTTCTTTACAACCGTCAATTACGCATAATCATGTTGCGCTCATCGATGCGTCTCGGTACGGCGCGACTGCCAAATCCTTGCCCGCTTATCGTTCGCTCATTAAAGTCGACGCAAACTATCCTTCCGCGCAATACCAAGAGAGCCGCATCGACCGTGACCCACCTGGATAACTTTCCAAAGGTTGGCGAGAAACTCCACGGATTCACCATATACGAGAAGAAACATGTACCTGAGCTTCATCTGACTGCAGTCTGGCTGAAACATGACCAGACAGAAGCGGACTATATGCATGTCGCCAGAGATGACAAGAACAACGTGTTTGGAATCGGGTTCAAGACAAACCCGCCGGATGCCACTGGTGTGCCTCATATTCTGGAGCATACTACACTATGTGGCAGTGAAAAGTGAGCAGCATATTATTGAATGCCTGTTGATTTTTCTGACTTTGTGTTCCATCAAGATTTCCAATCCGAGACCCGTTCTTCAAGATGCTTCCGCGCTCCCTCTCAAATTTTATGAATGCTTTCACAGCTTCTGACCATACTACATACCCGTTTGCCACGACCAACCAGCAGGACTTTCAAAATCTTCTTTCCGTTTACCTTGATGCTACCCTGCACCCTCTTCTCAAGGAATCAGATTTCCGACAAGAAGGGTGGCGCTTGGGTCCTGAGGATCCGCGTGCTGGAGAGTCGATTCCCGGACAGCCCGAAAAAAAGCTATCGTTGGGGGACATCGTGTTCAAGGGTGTTGTCTACAATGAGATGAAGGGCCAGATCTCTGATGCAAATTATCTCTACTACATCCGTTTCAAAGAGAGCATCTTCCCCTCGCTGAACAACTCGGGTGGAGACCCTGAGTACATCACAGATCTCACTCATAAGCAGCTGTCGGAGTTTTCGAAACGCAATTACCACCCTAGCAACTCCAAGATCTTTACCTATGGTGATATGCCTCTGGCTGATCACCTGCAGCAGATCGGTGCCGTTCTGGATGGCTTCCAGAAAGGTCAAGCAGATACTGATGTAAAGCTACCTCTTGATCTCAGTAAGGGGCCTCTCAACGTGACTGTTCCTGGCCCTGTCGACACATTTGCCAGCGAAAACAAGCAGCACAAGACGTCCACCTCCTGGTACATGGGTGACACAACCGATGTCGTGGAAACTTTCTCCGTAGGAATCGTTTCCTCGCTTCTCCTCGATGGTTACGGCTCACCCATGTACCGAGCCCTTGTTGAGAGTGGTCTTGGCTCTTCTTTTACACCAAACACGGGTCTTGACTCATCTAGCCGCACTCCCATATTCTCAGTTGGACTCAATGGGGTCACTGAAGCGGAAGCCCCTAGTATCAAAAATGTGATTCAAAATGTCTTCCGGGAATCCGTTTCTGCTGGGTTCAGCGAGGAGAAGGTTCGTGGATTCCTTCATCAGCTGGAGCTCTCTCTACGCCACAAAACTGCAAACTTTGGGATTGGTGTGATGGAGAAGACTATTTCGACTTGGCTCAAAGGCTCAAACCCCATGAACGAGCTGGCTTGGAATGATGTCATCGACGAGTTCAAGAGCAGATATGCTAAGCCTGGTTATCTCGAGTCCTTGGTAGAGAAATATCTCATCAACGACCATTGTATGACCTTTACTATGGTCGGCACTCCCACTTTCAACACAGAGTTGGATGAGAAGGAGGTGGTACGAAAAGACAAGAAACTTGCCCAGCTTATCGAAGAGTACGGGTCAGTTGAGAAGGCTGTTACCAAGCTTGGGGAAGAGGAATTGGAACTTCTCAAGATCCAAGAGGACGCGCATAATGCTGACCTGAGCTGCCTCCCGTCGTTGAGAGTCAAGGACATCTCGCGAGAGAAGGAGTGCAAGTCTGTCCGAGAGTCTAAAGTTGAGGGCGCTGACGTCGTCTGGCGCGAAGCTCCCACCAACGGATTGACCTACTTCCAGGCTTTGAATGAATTCGTTGATCTACCCGATGAACTTCGGTTGCTTATGCCCCTGTTTAACGACTGTGTTATGCGTTTAGGAACCGCCAACCGGTCGATGGAACAATGGGAAAATTTGATTAAATTGAAGACGGGGGGGATTTCAACTTCGTCATTCCTCGTGTCGTCCCCAACGCACTTGGATCAGTTCAAAGAGGGCATGCAGTTCTCTGGATTTGCTATTGACAAGAACATTCCCGAGATGCTGGAAATGCTCTCGGTTTTGATCACAGAGACGGACTTCACGAGCCCTGCTGCGCCTGCGATGATTCAAGAACTCCTACGGATGACTACTAATGGAGCTTTGGATTCAATCGCAGGAACTGGTCACCGATTCGCCGTCAATGCTGCAGCTGCCAGTCTTTCCCGGGTCTTCTGGATCCAAGAGCAGCAGTCTGGTCTTGAACAACTGCAAGCCACGGCTAACCTGCTCCGGGACGCAGAGTCCTCTCCTGAGCGTCTCCAAGATCTAATCGAGAAGCTTCGCCTGATTCAATCCTTCGCCATCTCTTCGTCCAACCTTCGCGTCCGCATGGTGTGTGAAAAGGAGAGTGCTGGTAACAACGAATTGATTTTGCAAAAGTGGATATCTGGACTGCCTCAAACACAGTCTCCAAGCGCCAATCTCACCACCTCTTCCTTCAAGCCGGCCGACAAGGCCTTCTATGATATGCCGTACAAAGTCTACTACTCTGGCCAGGCTACCCAGACTGTGCCATTCGTTGATCCATCCAGCGCTCCTCTCAGCATCTTGTCTCAGCTTCTCACCCACAACTACCTCCACCCCGAGATCCGGGAGAAGGGAGGCGCCTACGGAGCGGGTGCTAGCAACGGTCCCATCAAGGGCATCTTCACCTTTATGAGTTACCGGGACCCGAACCCTTTGAACTCGCTCAAGGTCTTCAAGAACAGTGGTATATTTGCTAGAGATCGTGCTTGGTCTGAGCGTGAGATTGAAGAAGCTAAGCTTGGAATCTTCCAAGGTCTTGATGCCCCTACGAGTGTCGACGACGAAGGCGCCCGCTACTTTATGAGCGGCGTTACCCATGAAATGGATCAACGCTGGAGAGAACAGGTCTTGGATGTTACGGCCAAGGATGTGAACGCGGTCGCTGAAAAGTTCCTCGTGAATGGCTCGCGACAAACGACTTGCGTTCTGGGTGAGAAGAAAGACTGGGCAGATTCTGAATGGGAGCTGCGCAAGCTTTCTATGGATGCCGCTGCATAATCGATATCAAGTAAGAATCGCTGTTCAGCAGTTGCCCTTGTTTTTCCCCTTCTTTTTTTTTGTCACACCTTCCTCTGAACTAGACACGATCTTTGTTCAGGGTCTTGTATCATGACTCCCCCTTCCCGTGTATTTCTATCTACCTTCACCTCCCTGCATCGCATCCTATCTTGTACATATATCCGTGTATATCTCATCTGTATACATCTCCATTCTTCCGTTTCCTCTTTTCTGTTTCCTCTTTATTTTCATGCCTCTCCCCTGCCTTGATTACCAACCGCGCTGAAGATATTCACGTGCTTCGGCACCGAGCTAGTCACATCTACAACCAGTCACTACCTTTGGTTGCAAGATGTCGCATTCGTTTCCATCTGGATGCTCGCGCAAGAACAAAGGGGATGTGAACCGCCAGGTACACTCCTCGTCTCCGTTTTTCAGACCCGTCCTGGACCTACAAGTCTACACAGGACGGACTAAAAACGTGGGAACATGAATTCCATAGAATTTTTTTCAATTCGTAGAAACGTCAAAAAAGGAAATTAACCCTGCAAACTTCTTGATTTTAAAATTGAGGAATAATAATTAGTCAAGCGCCATAGTCCTGCTAAAAGCGGAGAAACTGTTTAATCCACCCCTGATAAGCCCCGATGTCACTGTGCCTGCTGACTCTCTTATCCAATAATTTTGATCAATCACCACCAAGAGTCATGAAATATTAGTCTGAGTAGCCATGAAGAGATCGGGCGCCATGGTCGGCCCGAAGCCGACAAAGGCATGTGGTGAGTCGGAGATGGCATTGGCATCCGTTGTGGAGAAGAGCTAACTAGTCCAAGTAAATTGCCGACGACTGAAGGTAGAGACATAATTACTTTCCAAAATCCTAGTAGTTAGGAGATCACTCACATAAATCAGATGAAATGTGAAGTATCCGGATCTCCTCCATGTCGCCGTTGCCGTCACACTCGAGCAGCCTGTGTCTTCAAGCCCCGGGCCAATGTGAGTAAAGAACCACGACAAAAAAGCAACCCGAACACGGAGCTGACACTATATACAGGCATCGGCCGTGCACGAATTATTAGAGATGCAGCAAGAGCAAATTTTTGGTTCTCCACCAGTGATCCCGGATCACCAGGCGATCCTGAGCCGGCTGGCCAGGATCGAAGTCGCGCTCGGTATCACCGAGGATCCCCAAGACCGCGAAGACGAAGTTGATTTGCTTCATGGGGAAACTCCCGAAGAAGAGATTGACACTGTGCCACTACACGGTGTATGGACGGCGCTTGCGCATCTACGAGTCATTACTCGTCCACCTCCAGATGATGGTGTCTGGTCGCGACCCGCTGTTCAGCAGCTATGGAGCTCGTATGTACTGTTGAATGAAAAGATACGACGGCCGATAACTGAAAATGCTACAGCTTCTTGAAGAACCTCCCACTTCTGCACTTCCTAACAGACCATAGCGCGTTCGCTTCTCCGACCCCTGTCCTGCTCGCTTCTGTGCTCTATATCTCTGCTCTGCACCACCAGTCTACTGCGCTGGCATCTTTAGACTCAGGCTATTTTGCCGCTATGTATTGTGCGATCGCTGAGCTTGTGACTCCACCTCTGCACCCAAGTTCTCTGCAAGTATTAGAGCAAAAGGACGAAGAGCAAAATCTCTTCCCGCAAGCCAAAAGAGAGAAAGCCTTTCACGATATCCTTGGGTTGATAATGGCTAGTCTAAGTTGCGAGGCTTACGTTGGTGCCACAGGATCATGGATTGCAATGGCATATCGTATTTGGCTAGATCATTGCCCAATAGAGATGAATCCCACTACGAAAGATTGGCGTGGCTTGTTCTCCGGTCTCCAGGTAGGAACAGCTACCAAAAACCGATAGTTGGTTTCTTTGCTTACATTTTGCTTCAGGTCATTGACATCGAGCACGCCTCAATGCACATGTCCTATCCACTCCTCCCACGACATGCTGCAAATCCAACTATACAGCAGCTGGACAGTCACCAAGGAAATGCCTTCCAGGGCCTTGCCGAAATGATGCACTTTGGAATGAGTCATTTTGTCGGCCGTGGACTACCGAGCATATGGTCCTCTTTGAATGCAGATGAGGCCGACATTTTGCCTACAGCTCGGTCACCATTTACTGAGAGTGACTTGCAGATCATCCGGCATTGGGCAAGAAAACTTGATGACTGGCTAGTAAGATATAATGGCTCGTCCCGTGAGTCTCTAGGAGCCTGAACAAGTTTCTGGGACTGACTGTTATTAGAGCCTACCCCGTCTGATCGACAAGGTATTCTTATATTGCTCCAATATCACCTGCACAAATTATATGTGCTTTCGATCTACCATCCAGCCCGCGGGTTTGATCTTAGTCCTGCAAATATAAGTTCTTTTGAGCGACACGAGTTGCTCGTTTCAGCTCGGGCAGTGTTGAGGCTAAGACAAGACGATGCGAGCATCTGGTCCAACTGGGACTTGGTTGTAAGTTCAGCTCCAAAGCCAACATTGTCCCTTCTGACCAAAAATAGATGATCACATGGGCGGCTGTATTACTCCTTCAAGGTGTTGAAGACGGCATGACTCACCAAGATGGTATGGCACATTCAATTCCCAAAGGGCGGAGTCATCAACCTCCTCTAACACGCTATTCCAGATTTATACCTCATCCAAGCACATCTCCAACGCCTAGAACGAAGAAACCAGTCCGCTGCAAACATTCATACCGTTCTATTCCGCCGACTCGAGTCCAGCATGCAAGCCATGCACACTCCGCCAGACACAAGCGAGGCAGTAGCGTTCCCAGTCCCAAACACAGGTGTCTCATGGACTATATTCGATCAAGAGATAATGTCTCTTGCAAATCCGCCATGGTTATTTGACGAATCGACGCAGCTGCCACAGATCCAAAAGACCTCTGCAGTACACCAGTCACAGTCTGAACTCCCATCTTTCCAGTACGACTCTGCCATTCTAGCATCCACATCCCCACACTTTGCAACGCATACATAGTAGGGCTGCACAGCGGCGAGTTGCGGATATTCAAGCAGATCCCCGGTGTAGTATCATCAACTCCGAAGATGATTGAATTCGGCACGAAGAGCCACTGCTTGTTGTATTCATTCTAGGAACATGCTATATACACTCCAAACCCAGTTGGTAGGAGCTGTTCACAACTTCCGAACACTAAATCTCAGCTTAAAAGTGTCCATCCCCTCATGGTAGTCTTTCATTGTCTTATCTGTCCCAGCCCACTTCTCTATCCGAGTCTCAACGTCCCATTTCGTCCCTGTTTCGGCACCCACCTGCTCCCATAATTTCTTCCACGTGGCAGGGTCGTGTCGATAGTGTTTTCCAGCGGCCTCCTGGTTTTCCGGAGGTGGAGGATTCACTAGACCAATCTGCCGCCCGATTAAAAGTGATCCAGGTTTCTCCTGAAGTAACCCGACGAGCTGCTTGGCAACTAGGATCTGCTGACTCCAGTTAAAAAGATGGAAGAAGGAAGCGGCGTTCACTATATCAATCTTGTGGGTCAAGTGTTTCACAAGGTCAGAGTTGTCGTCGAATATGTCTGCTACAATAAACTGGGCTTTCAGATGATCGTGGTCGTTGAAAAGATCATACCCAATGTCGTAGAAGTCCTGGCGCAGGTCCGAGGCATAGAGGTTCCCAGAGGGGACCCCATCGAAGACCTGGTTTGGAATGTTAGATTTGCTTTCTTTTTACTCTGGACACTACCTGATCTCTCTGGAGCCTTACCAGCTGACGTAGCTCTTGCCCGACTGCACATCCGACATCAAGCAACTTTTGGCCGGACTTGAGTCTATCAAGGATTTCCGGGTAGAGCGGGGACTGTGGGATACTCAAGTCCAGAAACCGAAAGGATCCAATACAAGGGTACGGGAACTGAGAACGTATATCAGCACCTTTGATCAATCATACTCTCTCGGGATTGGGAAGATTCCGAAGCCATCAATTGCATCTGATGGCATGGCACACACGCAAGCATTCCAGCCACAGCGCTTCTAGGACAGATTGAGGAAATGAAAGATCTACTTACAACAGCGAATGCTCGATCTCTCTGGAAAAATTTCACCGACATTAGAATGGACACTCCCCACTCTGGAATGAGAAGTGACTCACCACTTTCTTCACATGTTCCACCTCCTGTCCGGGCTGGATTTTGCTATAATTTTCGAGAAGAGTCTTTGCTGGCTCAGGAATCTCGGTCAACTCTGGCTCGTACCAGGGGAACTCCCGAGGATCGAAGCCACCATCGAGGATGGATCTGAGATCGGACTCGGCTTTGGCCATGTTGGAGTAGAGGGCTGGCCGGAGGTTCGTCTACGGCACAAATCTTGTGCAATTGGGCAAATTTGTATGAGTTGGATCTCGCAGGACTTGATTGTGTACTTTAGCCTTGCATCACCGAGCAGAATGGCGGGCATTTGAGCTTCCGTGCTGTGGATGCCCCACGTGGGGCGTTGGGATATGCCGGCGCAATTATCCGTACCTCCCCCCCCCCGGGTGTCTGGTGAACGTCGTCCCAATAGAGGATGAAGCTGCCAGTTGAATAAGTACATACCAAAAGAGGTTGAATTGTATCCCAATCAAAGACATCAAAGATTGAAAAGATAGCATGGAGTTAATTTGGTCACTTGTCCATCCAGGCACTAGTTAGGTATCTAACTAACTAGATCTGTTCCTAGAAAAGCTTCGATAGTAGATTGCATAACTCTTGTAGAGTATAAAAAAATCTTGTTCGGTATGAAATAGGTAAATCGAAACGAAAGAACATCGCCAAAGGCAGTTAACACTCAGACCTAACATCTCGGTATCACGAACACATCATAGATAGGCCTCAAGGTCCTCGGGTTTCTCAGATGGTGCAGGGTAATCGTCTTCCTCTTTCGTCTTGGCCTTGTCTTCAGATCTTCAGCTCTTTCGGTTATTGCGACCATCGCTGCCGACTGAATGGACGCACCGGATTTCTAAACGCGGTGTCAGGTCTCCATAAATAAAAAGAACTATTCTTCCAAGCTTGAGGAATCTCAATCAATATACTTTGAGTGGCTTGATGCTCGATGGAAATTGTCTTTCTAGACATTTTCGGGTTCACTTTTGCAAGTGACTTGCAAATTTGCACTCCAATTGATGCCCAGCGAACATGTAGTATACAATTTCAAACATTGAAATCTCTAGAGATAGATATCGTGGATGTAAACGAACTAGGGGCTCATGAAAACCAACCAACTTCAAAGATACGAAAGGCCTCTGGGATCGCTCCTGGTGCATCTTAGATTAACTTCCTTCTTTTCCACATCTCCATGGAATCGGACATGCTCGCCCCTGGTCATATACACTTTGAGCCCTCCATAACAGATATCTGGGTTTCAATATAGAAAGTCCACAGAGCTGTGTAGTATGGCATCCAAATGGACCCTTGAGTAAGATAGTTGCATTCAAACAAACTAATGACCTATAGACCAGCAGATTCCAAGCTAACCCGTTATCTAAACATGAAATATGTCCTCAAGAAGCCGGTCTTCAGAACGGACTATGCAATGGTTCCACTGGCTCTGGCACTGCGTGGTGGATAGGAGTACCACAATGTAGAGATGCGTCACTTCAACTGGGTTCGCGGTGCGAAAGATCCTGTAATATTCACTGACGAGGTTCTTCTCCACATGGAACTGAAAGAGAAGAGTTCAATCGTAAGAGTTCGATCTTTGTATAGTCTATAGGAAGTGTGCTTAGAATTTTACAGCCCAGTTTCGAACTTGGCTGCCAACGGAAACTAATCATCCCTTATATCGCGCAGACTTGGATACGCCTTCCAGTTCCAAAAGTGATTCTGTCTCTTCGCAATATCAATCATAGTCTCGTCCCCTCAGACAGCCCAGTTTCTACCTGCACCAGTCGCTAGCTTCCACCTTAATTTTCATCTTTGCTCTCAAGCAACCTTGCACCTAGTCGTCTCTGTTTTAGACATCGCGCTTGGTAGAAATGATCGCTTGACTTCCGATTTACTGACCCCGCGTTTCATTGATGTTATGAAGTTTTGACCTCCACTTATGTAGCTAAAGATGGTCGGCACCATCAAGGAGTGAGCTCTATCCCGAGATTCCTACCTAGACATATTCAAACAGTTACTTGTACAATGAGCAGGTTTGGAAGATGCTCATGAAAATCAACGAGAACCATACGGGTAGTGGCATTTTTGAAGCAAGAGCTGTCAAATTTGAGTCTGGTGGAAAAGAGAGTGGAGAGTTGAAGGGCATGCTGTTAGGGGAGACTCGCGAGGTTTGATGCAAGAAGTCAACGACTCTAGATAGCCATCACCTGAACAGGAATTGGAGGATCTAGAGAGGGGGAAGTGGGGATAGCATGTTGATGATGGTGATGATGCTCTGTTGATGGGTGCTGGTGACCGCGCAGTAGAAAATGGGCGCGTTGCCCATTGAGCAAGATTTGACAAAGGAGTGATACATACAATGATGCTAATCGAGTTTGGAGTTCAGAGGGTCAAAGAGTCTTAAATCGATTAGGGTTGTATCATGGCTTGGTTATGCTTTTAATTTAGAAAGCCGGAGAAGTTCCGGCACTGTTAAGACTCTTGAATTCAGAGGGGTATAGTGTAACAAAGTCGCTCATAATATCACACAAAAGAGGTGATTGATGGCAAAGATCCATATTAATCACCCAAAGCAAATAAAAGTACTGCGTGTAGAGACCCATTAACTAGACCAATCGAGAGAAGTCGGATTTTCGCCCAGCTCATGGGGAGACATAGCCCTTGGTGAGGTTTTCGATAAGCCCGGAAGATCTATGGCCAAAGATGAAGGCGACAGAGGTAGAGGCGGGAAGGGCTCTGTGTGATTGTCCGATATCCGGCGGCTCGATGACTCGCTGAGGGTCCTTATCGGGGATTTGAATTGTTCTTGTGATCGGAGAGATGGACTGGCGGATGTTGCGGTATGCTAAGAAGCAAGATGGTTAGTTGCTTTTTCATCGAGCAAAAAAGTAAAAGGAAAGATTCCATACTTTATTACCACCTGTCAGATCGAGACCTCTAATCAATGCCAGCTCGTGTGCAGCAAGCCGTCGCCTCGCAATATTCGCTTCTTCTTCCAGTGCTGCGCGCTGTTCTTCTGTCTTCATGTCTGCCATTGATGTTGTATCAACACTCTGAGAGATCACGGCGTCATTATAAACAGTAGCTTGCCTAGGGGAGCACTTCTTCTTCCGTTTTTGCCTTTTTCGAGGATGAGGCGCCTAAGCTGGACGTGGATGCAGACTGTGCGATTTCAGTCCTCGCCCTGGACTGGTCATCCGATTCCAAGCCCGTTCCCCGGCGCCCGAACGCAAGTGCAAACTCATCATCAAGGGGCACAGCATCTTCCTCCTCATCACTAGGGAATAGATCCCCGCGCGACCTAAGTGAGTTGTACGTTCCACGAGAAGATTGCGTGGAACTGCGATTCCTGCTATTAGGGGTTGGTGACAATTGATTTTCGTTATCATAATCAACATCCATAGTTTCCATGAGCGGCTCGCCTTCGTGCGCATAGCGCCGGGCACCAGGGTGTTCTTGGAGATCAGCAGCCGAAGGCCGATACTTGACCCCCCTTGCACCAAATCTCCATGGAAAGCGCTCGAGGAAGCCGAGGAGCGAAGAGCTAGGAATTACAGTCGGGTCGTCGCGATTGTCCGGAAGGTGCACGGTGCTCCTTCGCCTCGTGTTGCGTGTCCCGTAGCTCATCTTCCTGGGCCGACGCGGCTGGTCAGCAGCTCCCCGCGCCAGCCCGCTGCCAGCAAGGAGACGGTCAAGTTCACCAGAACCCCATCGAATTAAGCCATCGTCTTCTTCTTCATTGGCCCAGTCGTCGTAGAAGTCAAAGTTTGCTTCTGTTTGACCACGTCGTCTCCGCCTTAGGTGGTCTTCTCGGCTCGGGAGGCAAGGTGCTGTACATACAGCCACACAGTTTCCAATGGATGCAAGACACGGGGATATGTAGTTGTGGGAGAAAGTATAAAGCCCCTCTTGCGCGGTTTCGTTGGCGGTCTCAAGGTTATGGGAGATCTGATTAATCCGTTGTCTTATGCGGGGGTCGCGCGGTCGCATCATCTTGGGCAACGGCGTCGATCAATAGGCACTGCTGATGACAGATCTTGTATGAGCTTTACCAGCTGTCGCCGGCGACATTGGAAAAGTTGGGGTAAACAGGGGCAATTGCGATTGCAAGACGACACCTCGGAAACCTGACGATGTCATTCCTGCTGAGTCAGCGCGGGTACTTGGGGGGGTGGGGGATTTGGGTTTGATGAAGACGCGAGAGAGCCATTGAAGGAATTTGGAGAGGGCATTTTCTACGTCTCCAAGATGGTCTACTATGTTCGATTCCTGAAAGTCCCCAGGATTCAGCAACAGAAAGGGTCCATCTACCTCTCTGCTCTCATCTGCATCACCACTGACCTGGGAGACTCTTTTCTCGCCGAAGATATTGATTTGATGTTGATAGCTGAGAATTCCTCTGGTCTTACGTTTCAGAAAACGACACAATGGAATGCTAGTAATCGCGAACTTGCTGTTACTCTGGGTCCCTTCCCATCAAAACTGGCTAAGCAGTCCATGGTATTGACAGTGAAAGTGCCGCACCCACCAGAATACGCTATACCCAAGTATCCCTCCATACCATTAGTTGTTGCTGCAACAAGTGCTCCATTTGGGCCCCACTCGACGCCAGCGGAAATGTTGGTTCAACGGCAAATCCAATACAGCGGGAACGAACCGATCCCCATAAGAATCTGGGAAGAGACAGGAAACAGCATTGCTCGACACATATGGTAAGCCACTCTTCTACTTTCCTTTCGGTTCTCCCCTAGACATTCTAAACAGGGATTTATCCAGGGATGCGGGCCTCGCAACAGTGACATATCTTCACATGATCTGTGAGAATATAAAGAAGAAGAACAAAAGTGCTGAACCTAAAATACCAGCCTTGAAGCAGGTCCTGTCTAACGTCCGCAACCAACCTCTCCAGGTAGTTGAGCTCGGGGCAGGATGTGGGATAGCGGGAATTGCATTGGCATCAATGCTTCCTAACTGTTCGGTCTTGCTCACGGACCTCCCTGAGGTTGAGGACATCATAACACGCAATATCAATGCTGCTAGACTCGCAACCCTGTCCAGTCTTCACTATCAAAACCTTGACTGGGACAACCCACCAGAGGAGCTCTGCCCTCGGCCCATTGAGCTCATTCTTGTCTCTGACTGTACCTACAACGCAGACAGCTTGCCAGCGCTGGTCTCTACGCTTGACCGATTGGTTCGGACATCGCCAGAGGCAATCATCTTGGTGGCTCTGAAGAGACGACATGACAGCGAAACAATTTTTTTTGACTTGATGGGATCGGCGGGATTTACGGCGGTGCAGGACAGCGTCGAGATCCCCTCGCAACACGACGATGTGGATGAGATCGAGTTCTACTGTTACAGTCGATGAACCGGGAAATTTAGCACCGAGACCATTCACTCCCAGGAACAACTCTTTTTGCCAAGGTCTAATTTTTGTTATATCCCGCCAACCAAGGGCCTTAAGGCTCCAAAAAAATGTTGACATTCTTTCCAACTTCCGGCTCTATCTTTTGATCCTATTTTCATAGGCATTAATGGATACTTACCGCTGTTAGTGGAAGAAAATTAGAATCGCCCCCCAAAACTAAGTTTTCTGATAGAGATCCATGGTTTCAACAGTGTATGGGACGACCAATAGATAGGGCACAACAAATTCTCTGAAATCTCTAACTAAAATGACAAAATCTGCCTTTATAATAATCTATGCGGTCAAAACTGACTAAATATATCATATGAATTGTTAGATCACGCTATCGTGGCGGTCCGTGAATTTTTGGGGATTCTACAATATTTTTAACTAGGTCTTGTACCATTAGTCTCGATATGCCCTAGTTTTTGAAGCTATCTAGAGCTTTAAGAACTGCTAATTCTCTTACTTTCTTAAATAATCGTTTTACTAATCTCTCGTATACTAAGTAGCTCTCGAAATCCTTACTTCTTCTGCTTCGGTAGTACCTTAGTAAGCCTATCTACTAGTATAGCCGTGGTAGGAACCGAGTTGTAAGTATACAGTTTTCAGGTGTAAAGCCTATCAACCGGGTAAAATACAATGTTGAGGGAGGATAAGTTCAAAGATTGTCTTATGTATGCTAAGACTTTTTTTTATAAGAATCAAAAGAAATCTAGGGGGATCCTTGACTCTAAGGAAAATAATCGGCATTCTCGGATACCTGATCATGTGAGGAACCCCGCTCGGTTCGATCCTAGGATCAACGTAATGCGTCATTGGCCAGTTGATCATGGTATATATCTTGTAAGGATTCTTTGTCCTTTGCAATATCTCAAATCTAAGATCCGGGAATTTTTCCATAGTATATTGAAATTTAAAATTCCGTTATTCACTTCGCTTCGAATGGCAAAATTTTCCGTTATAGTAGCCGATTATTGTCAGGGTGCGGGCTGGCAGGACGGCATGATAGGAGATGACTGGTAGGAACAAGTCATAACAGATCATATTCCACTTGACAGGTACAGGCAGGGGCAGGCTATTATACAAGACGTAGCTCGAAGAGCTACAACAGGATCTAGAACTGAAGTTCAGATAAACAGGTCAGAGATCACGTGCCGTGATCTTCCTCTAACTGAGCAT